ATCAAAAATTTCTCCACATGCTTCTGATATAAAAACACAAATATCGAATATTCATAATCAACGTACTCATAATTTCACTGAACTATGAATATATATACGCACACAGAGGTAAAATCGATGTGGATCGATTTCCACCTCGATTTGATTAAAGTTATGGCGAATGATCGAAGTAGTCGAAAATGACGTTCGATGGATATTTTAAAATCATACAAGAAATAAACCACTTACGTATCGATTATCTATAAACTACAGGCAGATCCAGCAATAAAACTGTATAGTATTATAAAACTCACCATTTTGTCCTATTCGGACACACATTCTACAAAATTCTAGCACACGGCGCTATATGACCTCATGCTACAGAGAACAAAATTCTTAGCTCTTGTTCGATCGACGGCTCAAGTGAAAAGGAAGCGCGAGGAAGATCGCAGATCAGGAACTCCGCATCAAGCGCGCTCCAAGCGGAAATTTTTCCAAGTAAAAAAAGCTAGAGATGGGATTAATGAAATGATAATCGAGAAGTGATTTAATAAATACGATCGGACGGTGAAACCGTTACAGTCTGATCTAAATATTGTCGAACACGTAATGCGTAATGTGGTGGGACACCATCCTGTTGGAACATCAACCTATTCGCAATGTTCCGCCGATCATTCTGAGTTTCAATTATGGCTGTTAATGCAGGATCTATGGCGTCTTACCAGCCCAAACATTTAATTTTTGTGGCTGCTGTGTATGAAACTCATGATAAATTCTGGGATTAGAATCGGACTAATATCGGCAGTTATGACGATGTACTACGCCATTCAAGGAAAAGGAACATTCGTCGGAAAAGCAAGTGTTGAATACAAAAAGTTCATCGTTTATAAATCGTTCACTCATATCTTCACAAAATTGTAATCGCCGATCAAAATCGTCTTCATTAAGTTCTTGTAGCAGGTGAATTTTATACGGATGAAAATTATGGGCCTTTAGAATCCGTTGGACAGTACTTCGACTAACACCACACACAGTCTCCAATTTGCGGGTGCTTAACGTAGGATCTACATAAACTTGCCCTAAAACCCCCACTTCTATTGCTTCGTTCCTTATGGGATTTTCAATGTTGCGTTTTTTATTGGAGACTGACCAAGTTTCCAGAAAATTTAGCTACAAGTTCTAGAACATATTTTCGATGCACGTTACTCTCATGTCGCTCGTTAAATATTTCTGCTGTTCTATTAGCGCATTGATTATTTCCGAAAAATATTTCGATAATTTCAACTCTTTCTGCTGTGGAATATACCATGGTTAATTTATGTAATAAGGCGTTACAAGTTATTTTAGCAACAAAGTTTCGTCAAATCAATCGCAAACTATGTACTAAATTCCTATTTAAAATAAGTACGAGATATTTCCTTATCTTTCTTCAAGAAATAACTTTTTTGCCACAAAAAAACGCTCCAATAACTATTTTCAACAACAAAATGATAAACAAACCATGGGCGTAGTGAAGAAAAGCATTTACTTATTAAGTAAATACTTTTAGTCAAATTTATTCTGAAAGTAGTACAAACTAATCTGATGTACCTATTAAAGTCTGCTTTAAGCTTTAAATCAATAAATCTTCAAAACTACTGAACTGAAGCTCATGTATTTTACATCATTATAAAGTGAATTGAAGAACCCTTAAAATAAGGTATCACTCGACCCCCCTTTCCATTAAGATTTTAGGGTTGGTGTCACCCCCGCCCAGGGGGCTGCACGTGTTAACGTGATTTTTTGCCAAACCTGTGTCCCCGTCCAAAAAACAAAATCGACGGGTCTGCGCGTTTTTCCAAAAAAAACTGAGCTGCCAGTAAATGCGTCTGTTTCGTTTTTGATGTATCACCCTGTATAGCCTTGCCGACGACAATGGTGAGCAAGCCAGACGGATTCATCACCAGAGATATCCCGATCGTGCTTTGCCAGATAGTCGAACCTTTTCTAATATTCATCGCCGTCTTGTTGAAACTGGTTCTGTCCGAAAAGGAACATCATCATCAACAATTCGGAATCTGCGCACCCGATTTAAATAGAAAAACAAGCTTCCATCTAGATCATAGACGGTGTTACGTAATTAGTAATAGAAAATTATAAAAAAAATGATTTCCAAAAGAAGCTTTTTCCCATATTCCTTGTGTCGTCTAGGGATATCCAGTTGAGTAGACTTATTTCTCGAAAACTAAAGATATGGAAAAAATCCAAGACACAAAAAAGATGTATTTCTATTTATTTAATCCAAAGAATATAATGAAAAGTACACAAAAGTGTACGAGGTACATTTCTTGTTCAGAACCCGCTCGATACGCCACAGTACTTAATAAATTTAATAAAGTTAGGGATAAATCAGCTCCTTAATGTTATAAATACCAATTACAACAAAATTAGGTTAAATCTTTCTAAGAAATTCACGATAAAACAATTTTTTGTTTTTAAATTTTAACACTTTCTACCTTGTGGACCTATGTTTATATAAACTGTTTGTCTTAAAATTACCCAAAAAATAGTCTGTTAAATTTACGGTACATACTTAAGTTAGTCAAAATCCGTGCTTTTTACAGGGTGGTCAATATACAGGGTGGCGCATCGAAAACGAAACAGACGCATTTACTGGCAGCTCAGTTTTTTTTTTTGGAAATGTGACCGGTGAAATGTATTTGGAATTACTGGAACGCGCCATAGATGATGCATTAATAGCCATAATTGAAAATCAGAATGGTCGGCGGTACATTGCGAATAGGTTGATGTTCCAACAGGATGGTGCCCCTCACATTACGCATTACGTGTTCGACAATATTTAGATCAGACGTTTCCAGATCGATGGATTGGTAGAAGAGGTGCCCAAGATCGCCAGATTTATCACCTTTGGATTTCTTTATGTGAGGTCATTTAAAAAGCAAAATGTATGCTACTCAGCCAACATCATTAGAAGTCCTGCGACAAAGAATTGTGAATGAGTGCCTTCAAATTACTGCTCAAATATTGCAAAATGTGCGGCAACGTTTTGAGCAAAATCTTTATTATTGCATGGAGAGTTATGGTTGCCATTTTCAACATTTACCTGCCTAACGGGTCCGTTCATTCTTCATTTTTAAATTACTTTGCTGCCACATATAATTTCTAAGTTTCAATAAAAGATTAAGTTGAAGAAAATGGACGTATTTTATTTCATTTCATAAATATTCAAGATACAAGCCAGTCAGTTACATATCGGCCACCCTGTATGAGGAGGATGAGAAGGGATCCGTCCTCAGATATGTGGTAGAACAGCCCGTCTCTGGAGGGTTCATAGATTTAAGTGAACGCGTTACACCAATACGGGGGAAGATCACGTTTAAATATTAATCGCGGTCTAAGTGGGGTTGCGGCACCGCTTTAGGGGTTGACAACACGTTTCGTGCGTACTATATGTCGTCTAACATCTTGTTTTATTCAGACTTCGGGTCAAAATGGGTAGATATGTAATTGAGATATTTCAGAGACGCCCCCTTTCTCAGCGTTTTAAATATTCTCATTGGCTTTAAACTCTTTTCATAAAGCATCCAAGAAAACTTATTGTTGATCCGTATAATGTTACAGGCTAAACTCTTTTAACACTTTTGACTGCAAAAATCAATCAACAATAGTTACAACTTATGGCGTGTGTCAAGACCAGTTTCAATCTCAAAAATATTGGGCAATGGTGATTTTTACTAAATTTTATTGGTCAAAAGTGGTTTTAACCAAGAATGTAAGTCAAAACTACTTATAAAATTAATAATATTTATGAAAAATGTTTACAAATAACATGAGAATAAATATGAACGATCCCATAGAAAGTAATACATGTGCCTATTCACAATACAACAAGTTTTGTACCTTTCACAACCTAAAGATGTATACTAAGTGACATATAAATCCGAACACCCAGTTTAAATGGTTTAATTTTAATAAAACTTGGTGAATGTATTTATCTTACTGTAAATAACAGCCTTATCAGTTGGACATTCCGGTTTTTATACTGCTTTTTTTTTAATTCACTAACGCTCTAAAAATGAATATTTCAGCCGCAGTAAAGAACCAACATTGGCGGATTTTGGTTCTTGACATCCTTTACGATCGGTTACGATGCCTAGAGTACGGAGACCTGTACGATTTCGTCAACTTAGTGAGTTTAATAAGGGCCGTATAGTGGGACTTCGGAAAGCTGGACTTTCTTTTCGGGCAATTGCAGTTAGAGTGCAAAGAAGTGTAGACACTGTGGCTAGGTGTTGTCAGGCATGGCTTCGAGAAGGCCGTACGCAAAGAGCAAGGGGCCCTGGACGCCGCCGTAGAACAACAGACCGTGAAGATCGCCGCCTATGATTATTGGCCTTAAGGGACCGTTTCTCCACTACCAGGTCCATTGCAAATGAATGGTTTGCAGAACACGGAAGACCTATTGGCATGCGAAGTGTTTACCGACGAATGAGAAGTTTTGGCTTGTTTTCATACCGGCCACACTGGGTCCTCCCTTTAACTCGAGAACACCGACGTAATCGCCTTGAGTGGTGCAGACAACGGTCACTCTGAGATCAGGAATGGAACAGTATTGTCTTTAGTGACGAGTCTCGATTTTGTTTAGGCATGCACGATGGTCGTGCCAGGGTTAGAAGGCGACGTGATGAAAGGAGGAATCCACAGTTTTTTGTTGAAAGACATGTTCATCACACTGTTGGAGTTATGGTTTGAAGTGCTATAGCTTATGGTTCCAGGTCACCTTTAATCTTCATCAGAGGTAACATGAACGCGCAGAGTTATATCCACGAAGTTCTAGAACCCCATCTTTTACCCTATCTTGACACCCTGGCAGATCCAACTTTCCAACAAGATAATGCCTGACCACATGTTGTATAATAATAACACATTCATTACCTTTTGCTTACCATTCTGTCGTTCTCCATCAGCAGAGGATTTGTAACTAAGAGTGAGAAAAATCCTATCATTCTGTACAGAGAATCCGCACCTGTCAAACTGACCATTCCGAAATTCTCCGTTTTATCTTGACGCGCACTTGACAACCCGCTTCTGTTGTTTCACGCAGTTTATTTTTATCGAAAATTGAAAGAAATACCGCGTTACTCGTCGTACTGCCCAGCCAAATTCCAGTGAAGCGCCTTTAGTGTATAATGGTAAAAGGTTTCCCTAAAATACAGGAGGTAAGGCCGAAAACGATGTTCAATCTGCAGTGCTGAACGTTTTGACGTTTTCAGGGTAAATCAAGAGAATCCGAAGACGGCGACAAGTTCTGTTTGGGAGACCTCGATCTCCTGAATTTGAGGTAACATTTGTACTGCTTTACTTAGTTCTTATTTTATTATTTCCGTAAGTTGCTACAATATCAATTTTATTCATCTATACATTTTTTTAATCAATTTCTATAATGTTACATTCTTGTTTATTGTTATTATTACATCGCTATGCATTTTGGGTATTTATAAAGTGATTTTTTAATTTCACCTCAAACATTTTTAAATTTATTGTTGAGTTGATTTTATTTTTTTATGTTTTAGAATAAAGTACCTATTGAATCAGTCATTGCATCTAGCATTACGTCGAACGTTTGCTTTCTAAAAATTCAACTAAAACAATAATATCGATTAGGTTGAATTTTTCATCTGACGTTGATCCTCGTAGCAGAAGATCATCTACAGCAAGTCCGAGGCACAGACATACTGAAAGGGGTTCAGGCGATTCATATCCGTCTTCCAGGGTAAATTCAAACTTTCATATTCTTCAGCGTTTCACCATTAGCAAAATAAAATGTCTACAGTCTTCAAAAATAGATTGGAAAGAAGTAAATATATTCCATTGCAACATTTTATTTCAGCATAGACACCCGTTGGAGAGATCTGAAACTAGAACCCTGATACCAAACATATCAAAATTACCACAAGGTAAGCTTCAGAAAGCAAAAATTTAAGCATCGTTTTCACAAAAAGAAAACAATGGTAACTTGGTTTCCATCCGATTTCGAATTCACCTGCGTTCCTTACTATTTAGAACATTCAACATTTGTGGTAACTATTTTTATATTTACCAGATTTTCTGAATAGATAACAAAGATAATACGTAGTGAATAATTTGTAGAAAGTTGAACAGTTGGAGGGACTGCCGTCGCTGTAGTGTGAACGCCTATATTTGAATACCGAGCCAGGTTGTCAGTTGTCTCAATGTTCCTTAACGTGGGGACATATTCTGTTTTCTCTACAAACTTTTTTTCAGGTTATGGTAGTAGCGTTTCTAAACCATCGCCGATCCCATCCGAGAACCTTGTGCTGCTGTATTCAAAAGACAAGCCGGGCTTTGTTTGCACCGAGCAGATTGACAAAAGGGATTTTTTGTTCCCTAGCAGAAAGAAGACCAGGACCAGGGTCATTAACGTTGTGTCTGATGATAGAATGCACAGGCAGAAGTTAGTTTATATTGCTTTGGCGAGCTTTTGGTACCGGAAATATAACATGGTCCTGAGTAAAGTGCTTATGAATGAGAACTGTCCTTTCCGTTGACATTATTGAATTTTGAGCTTCGAATTTTTTTGGATTTTTCGACCCCTTGAAAAGTTGACAAGTCCTGAAATTTCAGGAAATTTTGAAAACTGGAAATTTTGGAAATTCTAAAAAATTTGAAAATTATAAAAATATTGGGAATATTGAAAATTTGGAAGATTTTGAAAAAAGAAAATTTCGATAGTTTTGAAAATTTTGAAAATTTCGAATACTTTGAAAATTGAGATGTTGGAAATTTTTAAAACACTGGAAGTTTTAAAAATTCTGAAAGATTCGATGAAATGGAAGTTTTTAAAATTTTGAAAATGTTGGGACATTTGAAATACCTTGAAACTTTTAAAATTTTGAATTTCAAAAGTTTCGTACATTTTTAAAACATTGGGGACTTGAAAATAGGAGAAATATTGATGATTTTGGAAATTTTCAAATTTGAAAAGTAGGTATTCAAAACTTTGGATATTTTAAAAACTTTTAAAATCCCGAAAATTTTGAAAATTTCAATGTTACAATGCATGAAAATTTTGAAAACTGAAAATTCAGAAAATTTCGAAAATTTTGAAAATTAGGATTTTGGAAATTTTCAAAATTTTGAAAAGTTTGAAAATACTGGACGTTTTAAAAATTCTGAAAGATTCGATGATATGGAAGTTTTAAAAATTTTGAAAATGTTGGGACATTTGAAATATCTTGAAACTTTGAAAAATGTGAATTCCAAAAGATTCGTAAATTTTGAAAATATTTGGGATGTTGAAAATCTTGGAAATAGTGGAAATTTTGAAGATTCTAAAAATTTCCAAGTTTGAAAATTTTTATAGTTGGAAATATTCAAAACTTTGAAGATTTTAAAAACTTTTAAAATCCCGAAAATTTTGTATTTTTTTGGAAATATTGAAAATTCTGGAAATGTTGAGAATTTTTGAGATATTAAATTTTTTTTTAAATTGTGAGTCTTAGATATGTTTAATATTTCGAAATATTTGATAACTGAAAAATTTGGAAATTTTGAAAATTTCAATTTTAAAAGCTTCTAATCTTGGAAATTTTGAAAATTCCGATGATTTTCATACTTGGAAATTTTGAAAACCCTGAAAAGAACTTTAGAAATTCTTGAGATTTTCAAAATTTTGAATATTTTGGAAATTCGGGAAATTTTGAAATTTGTTTTAGAAATTTTTGGAATAGAAGTTTTTAGGTTTTGTAAATTTTGAAAATGTCAATTTCGAATGATTCAATTGTTTTGAAATTACCGAGGATTTTGAAAATCTTTAAAAAAAAAAGGTAATTTGGAAGATGTTGAAATATGTGGAAACAGAATTTTTTTAAAATTTTGATAATATTCAAAATTGTAAAACCTGAAAATTTTGTAAATTTCTAAAACTCTGAGGATTTTGAAATTCGGAGATTTTGAAGAATTCTAGAAATTTTGGATCTCAAAAAATTTTCAGGTTCAAAATACGTAGTCATGCCATAAGTTCTGTCCCTCGTTTTCAAACAAGTGTAGACCTGTTAATACTTGTCCGATTGTTTACATTGTGGTGTCAGTTGATTAAGCGCTTTTCGGGTAATTACATATACCTCAGTTTGTATTGATCTCTCGAAGCATAACGATGGAGTGGGGCAAGGCAGAGAACCGTATTGCAGTGATAGCTTTACATAAGTGTAATCACAGTGCTAGTCAGATTTTTGAACTCTTACGCGGCCTTCAAATATCGCGTAAATTTGTGTCTAGGACCATTCAGCGGTACAATGAGACGTCCTCTGTTGATGACAGGCCAAGAAGCGGAAGACCTCGTCAAGTAAGGACTCCAGCAGCCATCAAAGCCGTAAAAGCCGGGATTCAAAGGAATCCACTCCGGAAGCAGAAGATCCTATCCAGGGAAATGAAGATTCCTGTCCGGACGATGTCGCGCATCATTAAACAAGACCTAGGGCTAGGGGCTTACCGGAGACGTACGGGCCAGCGACTTACGGCCACCTTGCGACACATCAGGGCGACAAGATCCAAGAAGCTCTTGGAGAGGTACGCAGCTGGGGGATTCCGAAAGATTTTGTTCACGGATGAGAAAATCTTCACCATAGAAGAAAAATTCAACCGACAAAATGACAAAGTGTATGCAAGGAGTTCACAGGAAGCTTCGGAGATCATTCCGAGAGTTGAGAGAGGCCACCACCCTGCGTCAGTCATGGTTTGGTGGGGGGTGTCCTACGAAGGGGTCACTCAGCTCCATTTCTGTAAACAGGGCGTGAAAACAAAAGCGGCAAACTATCAGAGCGACATACTGGATCCTATCGTCAAGCCTTTAAGTGGTACATTGTTTGCCAACCAACACTGGGTCTACCAGCAGGATTCCGCCCCCGCTCACAAGGCTAAGAGTACGCAGCGCTGGCTGGAAAGCAATGTGCCAGAGTTCATTGCTGCGGAAGATTGGCCCTCAGGGAGTCCGGACCTCAATCCTTTAGACTACAAGTTGTGGGACCTGCTAGAGCAGTTGGCCTGCTCCAAAGCCCACCGTAATATCGAGTCCCTGAAAGCGGATTTGATCCGATCAGCGGCAGCTATTCCTTTGGAAGCTGTGCGTGCAGTGATAGATGAGTGGCCCGCGAGATTGAAGCAGTGTGTGAAGGCCAAGGGGGGACATTTTGAATAAAACTGTTTGATTATGAATTCTAAAAATGTTGTCGAATAAATAATATCTTTCATATAAATATATCTTATCTTGTTTCATTTTTATCATGAGATTATCATGGGACAGAACTTATGGCACGACTACGTATATTAGGAAATTTCGGAAATATTAGAAGTATTGAAAATTTTGGTTTTGAATTTGAAAATTTTTGAAATAATGAAAATTCTGAGGATTTCAAAGATTTTGAAAATTTTGGAATTTCCAAATATTTTCAAAATTTATTTCTCGCAAAGCCCTATTTTACAACAATTTCGGAAATTTCGGAAATGTTATATATATTTTCAATACTCTCGAAAAGTACTCACTTTTATACCACAATTTTAAGAATATTTAATATTTTGAAAAATTTGCAAATACCCGCTTAACGCGCTACACACAAATTATTATTTTTCACCTTCCTGGAACAAACCATTTATGTTTCCGGTACCATCATATTATCTGTTTCGTAAAAAGTGACTAAATCTTTTGAAAAAACAGAGTTTGATCTAGCTCCCGTATCAGCAAAGTAGATAGTGGATGTTTCCCCTTCAAATTGACGCCCAGTGGAAACCTGAAAGTCGAAACTTCGCAGGTAAGAAAGTTTCCCTCTCATAAATTACCTAATCTGCATCCATTAGAAAAATATACGCTTCAACGGCGTATCTACTAACTGTATGCAGCATATTATCTTAAACACTATTCAACCTGAGCATCATAGACAGTGTAAATGGCAACACTGTCTCATCCGTATGTTCCTCTTACACCTCCTATTATGTTAAAGTTTTATTGTATTTCAGGTAAACTTATGAGAAATGTAAAATTACTTTTTACAGGTTGTTTTTTCTTCAAATAAATTGAGCGTTTTGGTGGCAGATCCTAAAAATACCAAGGTCAATATTCATCCAGAGCCTACTTATAGTAAGATGGCGCAAGAGACGGAAGTTCCTAAGACATCAGCAATGGACGCTATCATGAGTCAGGTATAATATATAGAAAACAGAGGTATCTGTTTACAATTGTTTAGTTTTAGTTTGTAATACAATTTACGTTTATAAATAAAGTTTGTCTGACTCCAACACAAAACGGTCCTTACTTAACTGGACTATAATTTTCAGGCAGGCCTATCCAGTCTGGGCACCCTGATAAGCAACACCCCAGTACGCAGTGCTCACAAAGAAGCCTCAGAATACGAAAGCAAGCAAACCTCGGAGATATTGGATCCGGAATTGAACCTCTGCAGGCTCGGTTACACGCGAGCCGAAGAGATCGCCTGGCAGAAAGTTCAACTCCCCGAAAAGAAGAATCTCTACCTGGAGTTGTACTCCAGGATAACCAACTATACGAACGCGGATTGCAAGGTGTACATTGACAACGAAGAGTTCAACTGTCACTTGATCGTGCTGCAGTGTTACTCGGAGTTGTTCGACGCTTATATCGCCGTCAAAAAGGTGAGATGCTCTTCGTCTTCACTAGTGAGAACGCCGAGGAATGAAACTGCGTGTTGTACAGTTCATCTAGAAACAGAGGATCCTTGGATACATTGAGGACGAGCTTCCATTAGAAATGTTTCGACAAAGTTTTTAACTTGATTTTGTTTCTTAGGTAGAGCTACCTGCAGACAAGTGTAGCGCTTCAGCGTTTGCGTTCATTTACGAGTGGATGATCACCGGCGAGCCCTCGTATAAAGAACTAAGTAGGGAGAACGTTTTAGACATATTCAACTCTGCCAAGTATCTTAAAATAAAAGGTAAGCAATCTAGGTTGCAAAAAACTTTACAGTAGATAAAATACTTTATTGTATTGTATCTTAATCACAAAGCTGACTTAAAACTAAATAAACCATAACAACATTCCATATAAGTATATGAATTGTAGAACTCACATGTGATGTAATACGGTTTACACATTAGATAGTGTTTAAGTTCACAGCGGAATATCTTTAAATTGTCGATTCTTTTGATAGCATCAGAGAGGCACGTTTAGATTTTAATCAATCTTAAGAACTTGTTTTCGTTTAATATCGTAACTTATGTAACTTTTTTAAAAGACGTGATCCTGCCTGTTTTGTGTATCAAGTCATTATTTAACTTAGTAAAATCGACGGAGCAATTAAATGTCATAAATCTTGCCTTATTAACATTGAAAGTAAGTAACTTTAATTCTACCATTTATGTTTAAATCTATTAAATCGTATACAGGGTGTCCCAGAAGTCGACGTCACGCCGAAACCGGGTGATAGGCAAAGTCATAACAGCTATCAGAAAAATATTTAAAAAAATTTTATGTATGTGTTTTGAAAATTATAGGTCTTTGAAAAAAATATAGAAATTTCACACCCTACGGCAGTCTGTCAACTCCTGTTACTACAAATATCAACTTTTTTTGGATTTTATTTTTACAATGTAATGATGAATAATGCATCTTCAAACTGGTGTCTCAACCTTACTGCCAACTTTTCTCGTTCAGGAAAAATTGCCACTTATTGCCCAACCAAGTATTTCAAAGTAAAACTTTGCTCAACTTTAACTGGCTGTACTGGAAAAAATGTACTACGAGAGTTTGGCAAGTAACCTTAAAAGTTGGCGCATTTAATAAGGATTTCAAAATGGTATAACTCTTAGAAGATTACTCGTTAACTTATGCACAATTTTTATTTGAAGAAAAACTGATGAACATTTTTCAAAATTTCCCAATTAAACAGCGATTATGAAAACGCACATGGACCCTTAAGGATAACTGTTTGCACAACAGTGGGCGTCAAAATGCTGCTGACGATGATTTACCTTTACAGCAAATGCTCAAACTGTTTTCCTTCAGCCGCAATACACGCTCGACATCTTCTTAAAAAAGATCGGGTTATTAAACGAGCGAATCCACGGTTATTAACAAACTCAGCTGCTTCCAATAGTCTTTGCCGTAGCTCAGCTACATTTTGAATCGGCTTGAAATACACGTTTTCTTTTACAGTTCCCCAGTAAAAAAATCTAAAGGATAAAATCAGGTGATCGGGCTGGCCACGGTATTGTACCAGACCGCCTTATCCATCTGCCTGGAAAGTTTTGATCGAGATACTCTCTCACTGAGAGTGCATAGTGCGCTGGGCAGCCATCATGCTGAAACCACATGTCCCTGTAAATACTCAGTGGCACGTCCACCAATGAATTTTGTACATGATTTTTCAAAAAATCCAAATAAACTTCAGCAGTCAAAGTCTCTGGGAACTGAAACGGACCGATTATTTTACCATTTAAAATTCCCTTCTAACATTGTGCGACAAAAAGCAACTCGGGGCTCATAATCCCGCAGCAGAAGAGCTTGAACACGCTGTACGTGGTATGGATGGAGCTCGTTTTCTTGCAAGATTCTATGGGCTGTACTTTTAGGCACACCTGTTTTTAGTTCTATTGCACGCACTGAAGTACTCGCGTCTTCTTCGACAGCTCCTAGCACCACGTCTTCGTAAGGAAGGAAAGATCTTCCCTCACCGTGTGATTGGTTTGGTAGTTGGCCCTCTGAGAACGGTAAGCGGTGCACATTTGTGAACACTCGATGATCTGGATGACGAGCTGCATTCGGGTACCTCTCACAGTAAAGTCTCGCTGCAGCACTAGCGTTGCATCTGCATTCCCCATAAATGAGGTGCATGTTAGCATATTCTTGTACGGTGTACACGGACATAGCGGCACTGTACAATCGCACTATCAAAGATAGTCTAAGGAAAGCAAATGTTGTTTTGAAGAGCAATTAAACAGTCCAAATCCAAATCACAAGCGATCAACAGTCCAGTTCACCAATCCAAAATTAGTAACAGTACGAAATCAACAAGCACGAACATGTAAAGATACGCAGTAAACGAAGGAGTACTGATCGGTATCAAAGTGTGCAATAGCAAGTATGTGATGTGCTTCATCCATACCACATACAGCGTGTTCAACCTCTCCTGCCCCGGGATCATAAGCCCCGAGTTGCTTTTTGTCGCACAATGTTAGAAAGACACAGGAAAGATCCACAGTTCTTTGAAAAAATTTTATGGTCGGATGAGACCACATTTAAGAAAGATGGGTACATGAACCTGCATAACTTACACGAGTGGCACGTAGCAAAGCCACATTTGATGAGAGAAGATAAATCTCAATATCGCTTCAAGATAAACCATTGGACTGGAATTTTAAATGGTAAAATAATCGGTCCGTTTGAGTTCCCAGAGACTTTGACTGCTGAAGTTTATTTGGATTTTTTGAAAAATCATGTACAAAATTTATTGGTGGACGTGCCACTGAGTATTTACAGGGACATGTGGTTTCAGCATGATGGCTGCCCAGCGCACTATGCACTCTCAGTGAGAGAGTATCTCGATCAAAACTTTCCAGGCAGATGGATAAGGCGGTCTGGTACAATACCGTGGCCAGCCCGATCACCTGATTTGAATCCTTTAGATTTATTACTGGGGAACTGTAAAAGAAAAAGTGTATTTCAAGCCCATTCAAAATGTAGCTGAGCTACGGCAAAGACTATTGGAAGCAGCTGAGTTTGTTGATAACCGTGGATTTGCTCGTTTAATAACCCGATCTTTTTTAAGATGTCGAGCGTGTATTGCGGCTGAATAAAAACAGTTTGAGCATTTGCTGTAAAGGTAAATCATCGTCAGCAGCATTTTGACGCCCACTGTTGTGCAAACAGTTATCCTTAAGGGTCCTTGTGCGTTTTCATAATCGCTGTTTAATTAGGAAATTTAGAAAAATTTTCATCAGTTTTTTTCAAATAAAAATTGTGCATAAGTTAACTTATAATCTTCTAAGAGTTATACCATTTTGGAATCCTTATTAAATGCGCCAACTTTTAAGGTGACTTGCCAAACTCTCGTAGTACATTTTTTTCCAGTACAGCCAGTTAAAGTTGAGCAAACTTTTACTTTGGAATACTTGGTTGGGAAATAAGTGACAATTTTTCCTGAACGAGAAAAGTTGGCAGTAAGGTTGAGACGCCAGTTTGAAGATGCATTATTCATCATTACATTGTAAAAATAAAATCCAAAAAAGTTAATATTTGTAGTAACAGGAGTTGACAGACTGCCGTAGGGTGAGAAATTTCTATATCTTTTTCAAATACCTATAATTTTCAAAACACATACATAACATTTTTTTAAATATTTTTCTGATAGCTGTTATGACTTTGCCTATCACTCGGTTTCGGCTTGACGTCGACTTCTGGGACACACTGTATGTAAGCTTAAAATACCTAATACCTAATACTGATCCTTGAGGTACCTTGAGTCTATACTTAATTTATTTGAAACATATATTGATACTATACAATTTTTCTGGATGAATTTCAGATCTGGTAGAGCAGTGTTGGGCATTCATTGACCACAATGGAGTTTTCATGGAAGATACAGCGTTCCTATTGTATATGGACGCGAAAGAAAAGAACCTTCCTGAAGTAAGAGAGTTGATGTTGCCCAGGATCCAAGAATTCTTCCTTATGCTTGTTAGTTCGCAAAATTGGTTAGAGTTAGATATAGAAGACGTCAAGTGCTTCCTGAAGTCGAATTACATTTGTGTTAACTGGTAGGTAAAGAAAGAAATCCAAAATTCTAACATATTTTGCAGTCTGTATCAAAATATGTTACTTATGTAAATCGGATAGACTAGAGACATCAAAACTCCTATTTTTTCACTCTAAGCAAGGCTAAAGCAATATTGAAGATCAGTGACACAGTGTGTTTCAAATTTGATTGGGATATTGGAAACGGTAAGAGATACAATACGAAATCACTTGAATGGAGGCTAAGTAGCATAAATCGTTATAATTTTTTCCTGACTTCATTTGTACTGGGGTTTCAAAATAAATTGCACATTAACATGGCCACTTTTTCTCCTCTACAAGATGGCATAATTAGAATTTCAATATGACATTTTGTCTCTTGTCCTCAGACGTCAACTTGATTTTTTCTAATTGACGCCATATTGGATTTTTACACAGATAAATAGAGTTTTTGATTCTGATTCCAAAAATGTATGATATGTCATTCATTGACACTGCTAAGCCTTAGTTATTCCAGAAAAATAGAATTTTCTAGGTAGGCCTTGAAACAAATGCGAAACAAATCACTATCAGATAATGTCAAGGCCTACCTAGGAAATTCTGCTTTTTTGAAATAACTAAGGTTTGGCAATGTCAATGTATGACATATTATACATTTTTTGAATCAGAATTGAAAACTCTATTCATCTATACAAAAATTCGACACGGCGTCCATGATAAAAAATAAAGTTGATGCTGGAGGGCGAGGGATGAAACGTCATATTGAAATTCCAATTATGCCATCTTGTAAAGGAGAAATTTTGGAACCCGACTACAAATAAAGTGAGGAAAAAATAAAACGATTTTGGGAAAATTTGGTGAAATCATCGAGCGATGAGATGTAGGGAGGGGGCGACGTTGCCAGATGGACGGTACTATCTGTGGGGCAGGGAAAAGATGTCTGTGGAACAGGATTAAATTTGCTAAGACAGATAGATGGTTTCCGAAACGTTCAATATTTTTCGCATTTATTAAAGTTCTTCTCAGACTCTGTAGGGGTATCGAAAGATTCTTAGACCAGAAAGTCGTGTACGGTAAACGTAAAAAATAGGGATTAACAGGTTTTGCAAGTGGTAAAATTATATGGGCTTGATTTTGACGAAAAATCGATATGACGTTTTTTCCATAGCGAAATGGAGGTGTTCATGTCGGGCGTCAGATGGCTGAAACACAATTGGCACGACAGATCCGAATATACGCACGCGATTCTGGAATGCGTACGATTCGGCAACATCGCGCCCTGGCAACTGGTGGACATCAAGAGGAACCCCGAGAATCCGGATTTCATGGAACTGGCCCAGGATCCGAAAATTTGCAAGATGATAGACGACGGCTTAGCGTACGTCGCACAATAATTATTTTTGCGATAAGTTATAGCGCAAAATGCGACTTTGCCGCTCGGGAACTGCGTTTGTTACGCGCCAAGGGGAGCAGCTTCAATGGGGACTTTTCTGAAAAGCACTGTAAAATAATCACTTTATTATTGACGTTTCGGACAACAATGCCGCCTTTTTCAAAGTAGAAATAACGTTGATAATATTACAATACCTTGAGAGCTATGCAGATTTTTGGACCATCACAGCACCTTACCTTTTATGAAATCGTTCTGTCGCCGGTCCGAGCGTTTTTGCTATTTTATCGCTCGAGAGCGACAAAGCCGTGGTTTGCGCTCGATCCTCGGAAAATGTTATGAGACATGTTAAATTGTTGTTTTTGCAGATACGTAATAATAAAGTACTGGTACGGTCAAGAAAACGACGAATTCCAGCACTGGAACTCAGTCTTGGGTCTCAATGAACCACCTCCTAGGAATTGGAGTGGCTCGGATAAGACCTACTTTACTTACAGAGAATTTCTGATATACTTGGATCAGTATAGGTAATGTTTATTTTTCTACTAACATATAGAAAAGGGATTCCTGTCGATTTTTCTGAAAATTCAGTATGATATATTATTATATAAAGCAATATAAAACATTACCTAAATAAATTGAATAATAACTGGAATGATCCTAAGCGGCTTTGGACAACTATTGATGAGATTACTGGGAAAACAAAAGTTAAAGAGTGTGTCACTGAGTTAAATACAACATCGGGAACAGTATTAAAAAATACTCAACAGATATGCGATGAATTTGTACAATTCTTTACTGACATAGGCGAAAATTTAGCAAGTAATATACAAGCAAATGTACAAAATACTCAGCCTCCAAAAAGAACTTTGAACTCATTTATTTTGGATAAAGTCGAGCAATGTGAAGTATACACCACTGTTATGTACTTAAAAAATCGGAAAAGTCCTGGGTTCGATGGTATTAAAAGCGAGCATTTGAAAATTATAGCCGAGGACATAACAGAACCACTCACTTACCTAATCAACAAATGCTTTAAATCTGGCATATATCCCTCAATTTTAAAAAAAGGTAATATAATACCGATACATAAATCAGGAACAAAAACAGATGTTAACAACTATAGACCAATATCAATAATATCCAGTGTAGCAAAGGTTTTTGAAAAAGTTTTATCTACTAGAATGATTCGATACCTCACAAAATTCAAAATTTTAAGTGAAAATCAATATGGATTTACAGAAGGGAAGGCTACATCGGACGCAATAACTAAAATTGTAAATCAAATACATCAAAATATTGATAACCGAATCCCTTCAATCTGCATTTTTGTTGATTTAAAGAAAGCTTTCGACACAGTTAATCACAAATTATTATTAGAAGCATTGGAGAGAATTGGTTTCAGAGGAAACGCGTACTCACTGATTGAAAGTTATTTGTCAAATCGCCCACAATCTGTGCAGATATCAGAATCATTTAGTAAAGAAATGTATATTAAGTGTGGTGTCCCACAAAGAACTGTCTTAGGTCCGCTGTTATTCAATATATATTTAAATGATATTTTCCAAATTAATTGTGTTGGCAAAATAACTAGTTTTGCAGATGATACTGCAATATTATATGAAGGCACTGACTGGTCTGATCTGAAAAATGTAATTGAAAATGATTTTATCAAAATTATTCTGTGGTTTAACAATAGAAAATTAAGCATTAACTACTCTAAAACACATTTTTTACCATTTGGATCTTATGCTAGACATCTGCCAAATTACACAAATTTCTCCTTCAATATTAATGATCAAAAAATGCAAATTAATAGAGTGCCCAACATAAAATACCTTGGAGTGGTCTTGGATCCTCACTTACGATGGGACATCCATGTCAATTATATTTTAAAGAAAGTTAGATTTGTATCCTACAAAATTAAATACCTTGGGAATATATTGACAGAAAAATATCTTCGAACATTATACCATGCACTGATTGAGCCTCATCTCACATATGGTATATTAGCATGGGGAGCTGCATGTTCCTCACATATCTATAATTTAGATGTTTTTCAAAAAAGTATTCTAAAAATGATATTTAAAAAACCGAAACTTTATCCAACTGAAAAATTATACGCAGATGTTCGAATGTATGATATAAGACAGCTTTATTTCTTACACAGTATCACTCACTACCATAAATTTGTAAACACCGACCAAAAAATTAAACATAATCATTATACCAGGTACAAAATTCGTGGCACAGTAGTTCCTCAACCGCATAAATCTATAATGCAGCGATCATATCTCTATTTAGCGCCTAAATTTTTTAAAAGATTTACGTTTCGGAAATTGTTTCAAAAGAAATTTAAAAAAGTGGCTACATTCTATATCTACGACTGAAATTCATAAACTCATAAATACAAACATCAACTAAATACATAATCTACTGTAGCTAATTTTTGTCCTTTTTTGTCATTTGCATTCTACAGTTTCAACTTAAATGTATTGGTCCATGTACAGGCGATGCCTTCTATTGGGCCTGTTTTGATTTTATATTTATTTACTCATATTGTTTGTTATCTTTGTACATTGAGTGAATAAATATTATTATTATTATTATTATTATTAATCCTTTCTGCGAAATAGGTTGAAAAGTTTGCCTGATTTACAAAAATGGTGAATGTGTCGATTGTAGTTGTTAGAACAAAAGCTCTAAGAATCAGTATATACTAAATGAAATTTTTCGTCAAAACACCTTGGTGCTGGGAGGTGCCCTGTTGATCGCGATCATAATCCTTACAAGGGACGTTGATTTTCAGATGTTCTATGTCACGAGTTATTCTCGAAAATTCAGGAAACTTAAAGGACATGTAGCTTTTTCAGCACGCAGCTTGTCTTAGTTTTAATGCATTTTTATCAATAAACCAAACAGCATTCGAAGTGCTTTGTTACAATACTTTTCTAGGCTGTGTCTAGATCGGACGATAGAAGCGACATTTTAAATCAAGGATTTCAAGCTTCTCAAGTGGGAAACGTACTTGTATACATTGGAAAACACCTTCACCTTTGGAAGGAAATCAATGGCAGCTATCCACGGAATTAGCCAATGAAGTGTCGACTATGAATATCTTATAAAAAAGTTTATACAAGCAACAAGTCAAGAAATCTGTCATACTGAATGTTTAGAAAAATCGACCGGGTCCCATTTTGCATATGTTTTGTGCCTGGTTCTCTGCATACTTAGCTTGTTTTGGGCGCGCAGGTGTACTTTCGCAGAACAATGTCTTTTGCCCCAAGAGAAAAATTTCTGCGGATGCCAATGATGCTGATTTGATGAAAGTTATTAGCAGTAGAACCAGTAACCTTAGTGGGCTATGTTACCAAAGTTACCGAAGGTTTTTGATACGCGAAGTGCGAATCCGTAGTCAAGGTCTCTCAATTTTCCAGGTGGTTGGTTAAGTTTTTTATGCTGTTTTTCTTTGGTCGCTGATTGGATTTTGGAGCTTGTCTGTAGTGGTGCACTCTTCAATAATACTTTTATTAGGTTTTATACACCAATTAAAAAAATTACGAATAATTTTTTTTTAATCTTACTTCCATACTTTCTCGAAAAATATAAACCGACCAAGTTAAAATTATGCATCCACATTAAATTACATTATGTTGATGTCATCAGCTTTTATTGTTTTCGAAAAAAAATAGTTTCTTCGGACAATATCTGATAACGTTCCTACCTAATTTTTTTTTCACGTCTTCGATAGCTTCGATAATCGTATCCTGTTGATATGTGAAAAAAATTGAGATTATTCAGAAAATGAACTGGATCATATGGAAATACGGGGAAAAATCTATTCTACCGCGACTGGTATCTGGGTCGTACTCAAACACCAAAGACAAATCCAAAAAGTCAAGGCACCGGGTAGCAAATTAGGTCCATCACTATTTATTTTATATATTAACGATATATCTGGTATTATGTAAACGATGGTCGACATTTGATAATGTTAAATTAGTTAGACTTGATGGAAATATATTATTTTTTACTTTATAAATGAATATCATTACAAGATATTTGTTATTATTATTGTTATACCAGGGAGTATTTTTTGTCGAGCAAACCACTTTTTTATCAGTTGCAAGATCTAAACAAGTTTTTATATTTCCTATTATGTTGTCGTATATTTTTTCCATATTCTCACCAAAATTCCAATAGCAGCCAGCAAGTTCTCGTTCAAGTTTTTCGTACTTAATAGTATTTACGATTTTCTTAATTTTTGTATCAGAAATATGCCCTACCAAGGGCAGCATTGTCCAACTGTGATCGCTAACTTTAGGTGTATGTACAGCTTTAATCCCTGCACATTCGAAATTTACAATAACACGATCTAACAAAGTCTCTGATAATGATGTTATTCTGGTACTCTCTTCAATTTTTTGCTTGAACCCATAGTTGTTTATGGTTTATGATTTCAATTTTCTTGTTTTCATGCTTTTACCATAATAATTTAAATTAAAATCACCTAAAAGTATTATATTGTTTCTAAAATTCCACATTTCTTCGCAACGTTAAAAATGTATCCGCATCACTGTTTGGTGAACGGTAAACAGTACAAAGATCATAACGTTTCCCAAATAATTTGAACTGCATAGTATTGCAAAACATTTTCCGGAACTATTTTTGCGCAAATTTTTTACAAACCTCTTAACTAAAAAACTAGAGGCAACAGAGAGATTCCATCGACGGATTCGGATTCGACGCATCAAAAACATTCCGGAAAGCTTACTACGGTTTCTGGGCAAGACGGACGGCTCACTTTTGTCGACCAGCGTAATCTAAGCTTTGACCCGTGCTTTCTTCCAGAAGAAATCAACTGTCAGAAAAAAATAAACCGCGTCTGAAGAATTCAGATTTGAAGGATGGTTCCAGCATGGAGATGCGGAAACATGTTCCGATGGACAGGTCCCCTAGGGTCCCTACGATGGAGGAATTCCTCTCGAAGAAGAAAGTAAGTAGCCAACAGCCAGGTCAACCGAAGAAGGTGAACAACGTGGTGTCTTAGTGCAAAGTGGGGTAAAAATTCGTTGTGAAGGCGGTATGCCTATCAAATAGGACAGAGATCCGCTGCTTTCTAGTTGTTTTATCTCGTAAGGTGTTTATTTGGGGAACATAAAAATTTATCATTTTTGCTTTTGTTTTTGTAAGTACTTGGTATTGTTGGTGAGAGAAATCGGGGAAGTCTTAAGATACTGGCGTCTGAGTATAGTGGCAACACTGTAAAACTTCTATCGTCAATTTGATTGTAGACAGACTCTATAAGTTTGTCGTGAATTATAGTCAGATTTCAGTCACTCTGAGAGTTTTTTTCCATAGCTTTGGCTTCAAAAAAATGTTTGACATACTTTTACGACCTTGCAATACAGTAACTGCAGTTACCGAGCTTACATTTTCAATATATTTGTGGCGATACTGAAGTAAGCGGATGGAAGGTGAGTTAAATAAATTTTTTGATGCTCTGTCTGATACAAATGTTTTGACAGGGCCTTAGGAGAAAAATATAAATGAAGAGGCAACAAATGGTAAGAAAGGCATTCAAGTGCGCTATTAAGTCATAATTTTAGGACAGTACAGCAAAAGGTAATTTTGAGCAAAATGTGTGATGTTCTCTAATTATTGTAGCTAAATATTCTATGAATTCAAAATTCATGCACTTTGCTGATCTTACCTTTTGTTGTTTCATATCACTGATTTATCATTTTTGTTACGAATATTCAACACCCAAATTTCAAAGTGCGTAACAAATAGCAACAGTATCTAAAGTATAAACTTATAAAAGTGTTCTGAGAGTTTGTGTACAATTTTGTGAATTTTAAAAATTTTGAACTTTTGGAGGCAGGACCGTTTTCGCAGAAAGTTGTCTTTACGATAGTCACTTCTGAAAAAAAATTCTACGGACGCCTATGGCAGTAGTTGAGTGCATCGGCGTAGACTACTGTGACCGGTAGAGGCTGAAGATTCTGGCGGTATCGTAGATGTGGTCTACTCGACATCGAGCAGCTAAACATACTACTTTCGTCCACCCGACCAAAGGCAAAATGACAAGAATAGATCCATTTGCAGGCTTTCAGCATTCCCTCTCATGTATTTTCAAAATCCAGTGGAGCTCAAACAAGGCAAATGTTTGCTTTTTGGTTTACCGTCTCCCCTAAAATTTCACAATCCGTCAAAAAAAATTGCACAAATCTACCGAAAACGGATCAACCATAAATGGTAATACTCGATACTGACAATTGTTGTCAAGATCTTCATAGTCTTCACTGGTTCCAGATAACTCGTCGATGACTCAGAACACTTTTATGTATTCGCAATATACCTGTAACAGGATAGTTCGTGGTATTGAAAAACGATGCCCTGCGATTAATAGCAGTTTTCCCCAGCTATCCAATGATCTTCACCACGACCTTCAAGGTCATTTCAAGGTCAAGTCGATTTCTTTTAATGGATCCTCTTTTTGACCCCATAAATGAGAGCGGCAAATTTTACGTTCACATTTCACAATCTTAAACTTTGACCTTAGAATGTCATGGTCAAGGTCAAACCCCGGCACGGTTATATATCTTGAAAGTCAGTAGTCGTATAGGTGGTTTCACCAAGACAAATTTTTTCATGATTTTTTTGGATATCCAATGGTGACCTTGGATCTCACCTTGATCTTGAACATTTCTTTTAAGATCATTTGAAGGTCAGCTCTTCTTTAATGGAAACCTTTACTTTTGACCGCGGAAATCTAGAAAAGTGGAAATTTGATGTTGACAATTTTTTTATCTTGACCTTGGACTTTACAATCAAGGTCAAACGCAATTTTACCATTATTTCTTGATAATTCATAAAGCTGTGTAATCCCAAGATAAACTGACCTCAGTGTTCTTTCAGGATTGTTCCCTAGCTACAAAAATCGACTTGACCTTCGCATGACCTTGAATGTCATCATGGGCAAGGTCAGATTCAAGGTCACCATAATATATCCGAGTAAAAATTATGAAAACAATGTCTGGGTAGTTTTCCTATACGACTACTGGTTTTCAAGTTACATCACCGTACCTGAGTTTGACCTTGACCTCCTAAGGTCACAACTTAAGAATGGTCTAAACCATATTTGAACGTAAAATTTTCCGCTCTTTTAATATACGGGGCAAAAATGGGAGTGTTCCATTTAAAAAAAAATCAACTTGAACTTCAAATGACCTTAAAGATGATGGTCAAGGTCGAATACACCATTGAATAGCTAGCGAAAATGTCTATCAAAAACTCGTATATTATTAGAAACAGACTTAAACTACTGTTGCTTAGAATTGCGAAATATTTATTTTTCAATAGGACACAACGATTAGTCCTCATCTTAAGAAACTGAACTTTTTAAACAAAGTTCTGCCGCCGATGTCGAAGCAAAGAAAAAGTCGAGAAGAAGCAGCCGTTGTTTTACAAAGAGCTTACAGGAAATATAATCAGAGAAAGTTGGAGGAAGCTTACAAAAATTCCAGGAAAACCTTCAGGTAGAAATAAGTAATTGAATATGAAGTCTGCACTATTTCACTTAGCTTTTTTTATTACGCGTTTCTTTCTTACAGAAGCTTCTTCTTATGAATAGCGCGAAAAGCTTCACATTTGTGAAAGACATTTTTCAACTCGACTTTTTTTCGTACTCACGTTGAATCTTGAAGTTGCCGGGCGGTAACCTGAAGCTCTTCAAAAATTTTTTGGAGCGGGTGCACTTTCACGAAAAATTATCTCTCACTGACGATCGGGATACCTCTCAGAAAAATTCTTGCGGACGCTCATGTTTGTCACCACTTAAAATTGAATGGATATTTTTGCTATCTAACATCTCAACTTTATCGAATTTTCCGTCCTTGTCACATTAGTAACTGTCAAAGTTTCATCAAATCCGATTTACAAACAAAAAAAAATAATATATGGATTCCAGTTAGGAGTTGTTAGCGATTTTTGAACTTCGCCTGTTAACATTTGTCGTGAAAGTGGTAGATTTAGTGAAAAATGGAAATGGCAACGTTGCACTTGTTCTCGCTGCGAATCCAACAATAACTATCGATAACCCTTTACATTTGGAATGGCTCGAAACACCGAATCAGAATATTTTTTCTTAACGAATGCGATGATACTGCCCTGGAGAAAGAAATGCATGGATTTTTGAAAATCTCATAAGGAACCTAAGAATATTATACAAATTTCTCAACTATACCGAGTTTAATGCTTTTGTAACCATGCGATGATACTAAACGGATATTTTATCCTATATCTTTTGCGTACCTAACATTTAACTTTATCGAATTATTCGTCCTTGTCAAATTAGTAACTGTGAAAATTCCATCAAAATTTGATTTACATAGCATAAAAACATATCTAGATACTAGTTACGAGTTTTCACCTATTTTTATACACCGCCTATTGACATTTGTAGTGAAAGTGGTAGATTTACTGAAAAATGGAAATGGCACCGTTGCACTTGTTCGCCTGTTTGTGCGCGTCACTGTGACGTAAGAAATTCAGCTTGCTGAGAATCAAGTGACAACTCTCGATCAGATCTCGGCGCTTATCTATTATCTAGATAGTCATGGATCATATTTTACCCCTGGTTCTGCCACTGGTTTACTTATTACAAATTCGCAGAGCGCCACCTTGTGTTGAAAATCTAACTTCTATAGAATTGATTTTTACCAGGGCAGGATTCAGGATCCTTGCTTTACGAATGCCATTTCCAAGGAATTCAATTAGGTTGAGAGTCAAGCCTAAATATTTTTATTGCGTTGTTTGTCTAGCAACATTGCAGATGAAACAAATAAAATGATAAATAATAAAATAAAAATAATATATGGTGGGAATAGTGATTATGATTCTATGCCTTATGTTTCTATTATGCGCAATTACTCTAAGAATGAACTTTTCGCTAAGATATAGAGGTTCAGATGTAAGCATTAATTTGTGGATGGAAATAAAATAATTAAGCTTCACTTGATAGGGTATTTTAAGCCAACACAATGAAATAAACCTATTTAAGACATGACCAAAACGTCAAATGAAATTGTAGTTCGTTTTGATTGCTTTTGAGGGAATCTCTTCGATCCTAGTTAACATCATCACATACGCTTGATCATATTCTTTGAGAATACTCTATCTTTTAGGATAGAAGACCGGCAAAATAGTAATAACAAAAAACATACCACTCTAAGACCAAGACTCGAAAATATATTCTTCAGCAAAATGTCGCTTAACAGAAACAGAACCTCAGAAAACATGTTTTGCCCAACGAGAAAGAAATTATTGTTGGCATCTTCGCTTTTCAATGAAGCTGTTGAAAGCGTCTTAATTTTTGGCGGTAAGTTGGCTTGTTTATGAACGTGAATACTAGGAATGACTAAAACCTGGAAACTTTAACAATGTTTAAAATCGGAGAGGAAGTTTTTGTTTGTTCTGTTCAATAGGCGTAGACCCTCATCATGATTACGGTGAAGGAAGTAATACAGGAAAGGATATATTCCGCTACATACCAGAAAAAAATGCTTGGGAATTTGTAGCCGAGATGCCAGAACCCAGACATCATCATGGCACTGCCTTTGTAAAAGGCAAAATATACATAGTCGGTAAATGTTTCGTTCAATTTTTCTCTATTCCAAAAACACTAAGGAGGCAATATCTTCTGAACAATGCAAAGGTCAAAATACACAGCTCTGACGAGAAATTTTATGTCTAGACTTTGGACATAATGTTTTGCACCCACATTTTATTCGTCAAATATCCTTTATGGTTATTTCGTTTATGTTTTTCGGTCCCAAAATCTTTAACATCGAAATGCCATTAAGTATTCTTTTTAATACATACATGTTTGTATAATGTCTGTGAGTTTATCAGAGTGTAAATGTTGTTTATTATCTTGCTTTATCTATAGTTTTGTTATGTCTCTGTATATAGCTGCTCAATGGGCGATATCTATACAAACTTTGTATGTCTAAAGATTATTATTATTAGACTTAAGATTGACAGCAGCTTACCTTTGGGCATGTTAATATTGCCTGTTCTTAACATCATTTGAATTTATATTTTGTACAATAGGGGGAGCGGACCCTAGCCGCAACGAGCAAGGGACCGAGAGCTATATATCAGACTCAGCGTGGAGTTTTGACCCAATCAAAAGGGTCTGGTACAATGAAGCTCCCTTATTGGAAGCTAGGAAGAATTTTGGATTGGTAGCATTCGGTTCCGAAATTTTCGCTATTGGTGGTCAAGGAAGAAATTTCATGTACGTATAAAGGTAAAAAACATGCCAAACTATTAACCCGATTGCTTCAGATGCGGGGTTATGGATTTTGACACTTGAGGCGTCCTTAGCTCATCGAAGATTTGTTTTCTGTTTTCAGGGCACTGAAGACAGTCGAAAAGTTTGATCCGGACACAAATCGTTGGACCAAAATGGCGGCAATGCATACAGAGCGTACGGGCTCAAGCAGTATCAAATACAAGAATTCCATTTGGGTTATGGGTGGCTTGTACGGCACTAACAAGAAAGTCAAGATTCTTGATAGCATCGAAAGTTATGACGTCAGGCATAACCAGTAAGTTAAAGCTTCTGTCCCCATCATTTGAAGAGACTCTTCTCACAGAACGCAACTGGTGAAAGTTTATTTGTGTTCATATTAAGCTTTCTAAAATATTTTATTTTCTTCTATAAGAAATGCTACAAAGAATATTGAATTAACCACAATATACATTACAATGTTAATAAAAAATATACTTGCAACGGTGAAATCCTGCTTCAGGAGAAAAACATCAGAAAGCATGTAACCAAAAACTTTACAGGTCACAATATGGAAAACTGATCATTGTTAAGATTCAATAATAAAGTTTTGAAAAACTTGAGCAAAATCTATACTAACCGATAACAATATTCCTTATACGTTGATTGTTCTAGCTAATTATTACTTTTACGAGTAATTATAGTCATTTATATTCCGCATTCTCACTGGTAGCAATAAACACACTTTTTGTGCAAACTCAGTGCCTAATGTGATACTGCTTATCTTCAATCTGTTCCAAAAGATATCAACGTTAGTAGCTGATGTATTCTTCTCTTTATCATACAATTTCAATGCGGGTGTTTATCTGGGATCAAATTCAGTTCCAACATTGTTTCAGATACGAATAATGCGGATGACAGTATTTTACATGCTGGCGTTCTAACCGCCATACCTATTGAAATATTAAATCTTCTTTCAGATGGACTAAAATCAGCCACGCCATGAACTTCCCTAGATGCTTCTCCTCTTGCATAGTGATGTGCGATACGCTGTATGCAATCGGTGGTGCGGGAAAGACTCCCGAAAACAAGAAAAACACCACAAGCATTGCAGCAGTGGACGCGTGGAACGACAAAAAGAAATGCTGGCAGAAAATCACCGAGTTGAGCATACCAAGGCACGGGCACGTCGTAGCGTATCTTGGAACTCAAATTCTAGTCATCGGAGGAGTTACCACGACGTATAGCAGAGCTCTTAGTAATGTGGAGTGCTTTTGTAGCCAAAGAGGTAATGCATACTATATATCCGGATAGATCATAATTGTCTATTTCCATATCTTTGCTCTAATTCAATATCTTTGATGATTCTGCGTAACTTTGCAGTATTTCTGTGATGGTGTGGGTTGCAATAGCCTGTTTTACGACGGAATTGTATTCTAGGGGGTATATGAAAAGTCCCCTCTTCGGGAAAAAAGGTTGGGTAAACCTTTTATGAAACGTAAAATTCAAAAAAGTCAGTTTTTCGCAAATATAATAATTGTGAATTATTTGTTAATGTAGAAGATATTGAAAAAGGAAAAATTTATAACAACCTTACCCCCTAAAACGCTTTGGAACTTTGTTAATGGATATTTGGGTACTTTCACAGCATTCAAATTTTCCTTTTTTATGTTGTTTTTCCGGGTAGAAAATGGCATACTATACGCTTTTTCGAATATTGAAATGCCCGTATCTCCAATCCTTTTTCTCGATCAGGTTCGTCAAAAAACAGAAAGAAAACCCTGGAGCGAAAAACAATTACTGGAATTTCTTTTTAAAAACTTACCTGTAAGTGATGTTCGATCTTAATTGTGTGAACGCCTCTTCCAAGTAAATAGCTTTGACCGGGAAATGGGGAACTACACCTGGTCTATTTACGAGACGAGGCCGTAACATAATAAATCTTTTTCTGTTGCAGAAACTTGGATACGAGGAGTTTCCTGCCTTCCCACACCTGTCTCTGGACACTCTGTAGTCACCTTACCACCTTCTTCTTTATTGCATCAAGAACCGATGCCAATTCTTCAAGCTATAGGGGGATTCTAATATAATGTACAATTTCTGTTCATGAGCTAAGTCCGGTCCTGTTGTCAGTTCTACAGCATAGAATTCTGTAACGTTATCTTATAAGCAGCACATTGTGTTTCATGTCATATGTAAGTTAAGCTACTTGTCACTAGATGGCACTAAATACTAAAATTTACCTTACACTGTTTTTGGAACATATTTACAACAATTTACACTATTTTTATTTCTGTTATGTTATTATACAATCAATAAAAGTATAAAAATGTTTGCAAGTGTTTTAATTACGATAAAGACTGTGGATAATATTAGGATTTCAAATTATCCGCCAGCTGTCAAGCAAAGTGAGAAAAGGACTTCTGGAATTTGTCATTCTGTGGGTTTTGGTTTATCTTTGTGAAGGGGTGCGGTATTTTAACATTTAACCGACGAGAAAAAGTGTTACAAAAACAAGTGTTTGAGTGGTGAAAGGTAAATTATAAAGTGTCTTTTATACGTGAGAATAGATTTCCAAACGATATGTGGCGAGTTGAGTTGAAATATTGTGGAAAAAAGTCGATGAACCTTTGTGATTTGTATACAACATGGTGGATCATTCATCATTACGGTCTACTAGGATCTGACCTAAGTGCATTCTCGGGAATGCAATTCCGAATTCCTACGTTTTTCTAATGATTCATTGGTTTCATCATGTGAATTATCATGTTGTGGTACTTTGAATGAATTTCATTTAAAAAACGAAGTGATATGGAGCAAAACAAAAATCACAAATTGCTGATATGCAAAATAGAATGAGTAATATTCTTGGAAATGTGTTCTTTCAGGTTGACTTTCCCACTGATTCACAATGAGCTACATGCAGTCTAACCAGAACAGGCCCAGTAAGTACTTCTTCAGTTTTGCATGTAATAAAAAATCAATAAACCATGACTTATGTTTTTATTATGCTTATTTTACATTTCATAGGCTGGTAAGATTAGGATCTGTACTCCGTGTTCATAATTTAAAATTACTTGTTTTCACTACTAAACCCAGAGATCAACCTTATTAAGAAATAGCATTTCTTTCTCTGGGTAAACAAATAAGTAAATGTGATTTGACATTGCATCCTGTCAAAACCCAGAGATCAACCTTATTAAGAAGCAGCATTTCTTTCTCTGGGTAAATAATGAAAACAAATAACAAGTAAATGTGATTTGACATTGCATCCTGTCAAAACCGAGAGATCAACCTTATTAAGAAGCAGCATTTCTTTTTCTGGGTAAATAATGAAAACAAATAACAAGTAAATGTGATTTGACATTGCATCCTGTCATTGTGTCAGCTGTGATTAGAAAGTTGAAAAATGTTTAATTCATTATTGGATGGAATTTTGAAAAGAAATAAAAAAAAAAATAAGGATTTCTTGAAGTATCTTATTTTCTCTAGCAACCCTGATGCTAAAAACTGACAATGCTATATAGTTCTTGATATTGTATTATAGTCAAAATCACGAAAGATGACGATTACATCATCATTTTAGTCTGTAGTAAAGACAAACCTCAGTGGTTTGTGAATATTTTTAATGAAGTTTCAAATATGTTAGACAGAGACAAATAGAATTTTATTGTCTAAACAAACTGTATTGCTAATTTGCATGTATCCGACAAAGATAGGTTATGTTAAAGCAGGTTAGGTTGTTTTTGAATAATACTTAAGTCTTTGGTGTTAATGTCTTAAGGTGTATTCACTCATAACTGTTTTTTCAAAACAAAAACTCCCCACTAAACTTATTATTAAGGTATCACTTAAAACCATGAAATAAAATAAAAATAATTAGTGAAATAACCTAACTTGGCAAAATCATAATATAAATTCATGAGGTTGTGATTTTATCATCGACGTATGTCCATTGATTACTTCAGTACAATTTATGGTATGACGTAATAGTCATCTTTCGTGATTTTGACTTTATGTGTACATTGCAACAAAAATAAAACATTATCTTCAGGATTACTGGAAATTAAATGTCACTTTTCTCTGGTGATGTACAGGGTATCCAACAATAACACTGCCTATAAGTTTTTTGCATGATCATTTAGAAAAAAATATGTATACAAGGTTTATTATACAGTTTTTAAGTATTTTCTTTTTTATATATATTTTAGAAAAATGATCTTGGATAAATTTGTTTTTTTGAAATAGAATAAAATTACAGTTGTTTTAAGTCATTCCTATTTTGATGTTATGTTGCAACTAACTGTTTGCATCAAATTGTTCATGATTTTGATTTTTGTCATCTGTTATATCAGCCTGAAATTCATGCAATTCAAAAAGAAAACATAGCCTCACAATATGAGAGTGCTGAAAGGATAGTGGAAATCTAGAAATACTCCAGTGTTTCTGTAGGAGAGAAAATACTACGAAAGCAGGCCATAAAGGCGTCCTGCAATAGTAGGAATGGCTGACAATATGAAATGAAACTTGTAATTTTTTTTCTTACATTACATCAAAGTCATTGTATCACTATTTTAAAAATGCCTCGACTAATTTGCAAAGGAAGTAAAATCATAAAGATCTGAATTTGTTTCTTGAATCTACTTACCAGTCACTTTTGAACAATTTCGAAAGCAGTGACACTGAATAATTATAGATATTTATTGATCACATTTTAATAAATTAATACATGACAAGTCAAAGAAGGACTAATGATGCATAAGACATTAAAAATTACAATTAAGACTCACACATGATATAACAATTGAAAATTTGTAGGATAAAAACTCTTGTACAGTGTAAAAGCAGCAGATAGAATTTTCTTTACTTTGTGCTAAAACTCATCATAATTTGTTATATCCCTTAAATGTTTTGGTAAATTCTTGAATAGGTGAATGCAGTTGTAAAATACAGGTCTTTCATATGCTGTCTTTTTATGCCTAGGAAAACTTGTGTTGTATAGTTACTTCCAAGAAGAGCACAAACCATTAGGGTTCCTTTTCACAAGTATTACTCATTTGAATATGTAAATTGCTAAAAGTATTAGAATTCTATGTTCTTTAAAAGTTTTCCTACAGACTTATTATAATTTAAACCAAAAATGAGCCTATTATTCTCTTTTCAGCTAAAAATATTATTAGACTATCCCCAAGTGGCAAAATTAAATGACAAATGGCTAATGCATAGTATAGGCTTAAAATACCTTCATGACTAAAACTATGCACTGTTCAGTTTTTTGCAGACATGATATATGCAAACTTGGAAATATATTCCACTGTCATAAAAAAAATTGACCTAGTAATTGCTTTTTAGAAAAAAAAAATACATTTTGTCCTTTTTTAATGTTGATTTTTTTACACCAAGATTCCATCCTGGACATAACATTATTCTCCCTTTAATCTCTTCTGACAATTGCCTGTACACTGTTACAGATGTATCATCATCAAACATCACTAATTTTGCTTCTTTTACATGCTTGGGGAGATCATTCACTAAAAGTACAAAAATTAATAAGTATATACATATATAATTAATGTGGATGTCAAGATGCAAATAAATCACCCAATATTTATTTTTAACTACATTATTTGAATTTTCTAAAACCATTAGATGAATCAGTAGACATTTCAGAAGTTACCTAATTTTTTTTTTTACAAAAACCAGTGTCTCAAGGTCACTACCAAGGGCCGGGAGACCTCCCGATGCCTTCCTCAAAGGAACAGACGCTCATGTGGCAGCAGAACTCCTACATGGGGGATTCAGGAATCAATTCTGGTGCTGCAACCCAGGTAAATACATTAATTGGTTTTTATTGATATCACTGAATTACCTCATCAGTATTTGCAGTGTATATTGCTTCAGAAAGCCACCTTCACAGTTCATTTATTTGAGAATCTTCACAGTTTCTATAAAGAAGGCGGTATAACATATTTTTTCTGAATCCTTTTTTAATTCAGGTGCCATCATTGACTGGCAAAGAGGAAGAAGAGATGGACTTGTTCGACTTAGATCAGGGCTATCAAGGTTTCACCCAGGAACAAGTCGATGAAATGAACAACCAATTGAATCAGACCCGGTCTCAAAGGGTCAGGGCTGCTATGTTCCCAGAAACCTTGGAAGAAGGTAAATTTTGAGAAACTGTTCGAAAATATGCATCAAATTTGCAGCATTGTAACTGTTCTGAGTTTTAACAGATTCATTTAAATCCAGCGTCCGAAATGCGTCGCGTTTTGTCTTAAAAAGGAAGCTATGCTGCCGCTCCCTATTGGTGGCTTGGCGTTTTTCTAGGTTTCTTAAGTGTTTAAAAATTCCCAGGCATCGAGATTCCATCAACCCAGTTCGACCCGACTCACCAAACCGCTGTCCAACGCCTGGCTGAACCGTCTCAGATGTTGAAACATGCCGTGGTAAATCTGATCAACTACCAAGACGACGCTGATCTGGCCACCAGGGCCATTCCCGAGTTGATCAAATTGTTGAACGACGAAGATCAAGTCGTCGTGTCTCAGGCTGCGATGATGGTGCACCAGCTATCCAAGAAGGAAGCGTCCAGACACGCCATCATGAATAGGTAAGTGTGACTTTTTTTTTGTTGAACGTTCCTTATTCGCAACTGTTCTTTCAGTCCTCAGATGGTAGCCGCGTTGGTTCGCGCCATCACCAATTCCAACGATTTGGAAACTACGAAAGGTGCAGTCGGTACCTTGCACAAGTTATCGCACCACCGACAAGGCTTGCTCGCTATTTTCAAAAGCGGCGGAATACCGGCACTGGTCAAACTGCTTTCTTCTCCAGTGGAAAGCGTTTTGTTTTATGCCATCACAACCTTGCATAATCTTCTGTTGCACCAGGTGAGAAAAATCTTATTTTCACGACTTTTTTCCAGAATGCGGACTCCTCTTTTAGGAGGTGATTTAATCGTGCGATTTTTTCATTTTTTTTGCCAGTGGTGCAACTAATCAATTAATCTCAAGCAGTACAAAAAGAATGGAAACGTCAAAATATGTCAAAATGTGTTCTAGATCGAACTTGTAAGGTTTAGAAAGGGTCATGTAATAGTAACCTTGAATGTCACCTTGGCCACAAACTTTACGTTCATTTGAAGGTCATTTGTTGAACATAAAAATTTCCATTGTTTACATTTTTACTGAAGAAAACTAATCATTCTTAATCTCGAGCAGTACGAAAAGAATGGAAACGTCAAAATATGTCAAAATCTGTTCTAGATCGAACTTGTAAGGTTTAGAAAGGGTCATGTAATAGTAACCTTGAATGTCACCTTGGCCACAAACTTTACGTTCATTTGGAGGTCATTTGTTGAACATAAAAATTTCCATTGTTTACATTTTTACTGAAGAAAACTAATCATTCTTAATCTCAAGCAGTACGAAAAGAATGGAAACGTCAAAATATGTCAAAATCTGTTCTAGATCGAACTTGTAAGGTTTAGAAAGGGTCATGTAATAGTAACCTTGAATGTCATCTTGGCCACAAACTTTACGTTCATTTGAAGGTCATTTGTTGAACATAAAAATTTCCATTGTTTACATTTTTACTGAAGAAAACTAATCATTCTTAATCACAAGCAGTACAAAAAGAATGGAAACGTAAAAATATGTCAAAATCTTTTCTAGATCGAACTTGTAAGGTTTAGAAAGGGTCATGTAATAGTAACCTTGAATGTCACCTTGGCCACAAATTTTACGTTCATTTGAAGGTCATTTGTTGAACATAAAAATTTCCATTGTTTACATTTTTACTGAAGAAAACTAATCATTCTTAATCTCAAGCAGTACAAAAAGAATGGAAACGTCAAAATCTGTTCTGGATCGAACTTGTAAGGTTTAGAAAGGGTCATGTAATAGTAACCTTGAATGTCACCTTGGCCACAATCTTTACGTTCATTTGAAGGTCATTTGTTGAACATAAAAATTTCCATTGTTTACATTTTTACTGAAGAAAACTAATCATTCTTAATCTCAAGCAGTACAAAAAGAATGGAAACGTCAAAATATGTCAAAATCTGTTCTAGATCGAACTTGTAAGGTTTAGAAAGGGTCATGTAATAGTAACCTTGAATGTCACCTTGGCCACAAACTTTACGTTCATTTGAAGGTCATTTGTTGAACATAAAAATTTCCATTGTTTACATTTTCACTGAAGAAAACTAATCATTCTTAATCTCAAGCAGTACAAAAAGAATGGAAACGTCAAAATATGTCAAAATCTGTTCTAGATCGAACTTGTAAGGTTTAGAAAGGGTCATGTAATAGTAACCTTGAATGTCACCTTGGCCACAAACTTTACGTTCATTTGAAGGTCATTTGTTGAACATAAAAATTTCCATTGTTTACATTTTTACTGAAGAAAACTAATCATTCTTAATCTCGAGCAGTACGAAAAGAATGGAAACGTCAAAATATGTCAAAATCTGTTCTAGATCGAACTTGTAAGGTTTAGAAAGGGTCATGTAATAGTAACCTTGAATGTCACCTTGGCCACAAACTTTACGTTCATTTGAAGGTCATTTGTTGAACATAAAAATTTCCATTGTTTACATTTTCACTGAAGAAAACTAATCATTCTTAATCTCAAGCAGTACAAAAAGAATGGAAACGTCAAAATATGTCAAAATGTGTTCTAGATCGAACTTGTAAGGTTTAGAAAGGGTCATGTAATAGTAACCTTGAATGTCACCTTGGCCACAAACTTTACGTTCATTTGAAGGTCATTTGTTGAACATAAAAATTTCCATTGTTTACATTTTTACTGAAGAAAACTAATCATTCTTAATCTCGAGCAGTACGAAAAGAATGGAAACGTCAAAATATGTCAAAATCTGTTCTAGATCGAACTTGTAAGGTTTAGAAAGGGTCATGTAATAGTAACCTTGAATGTCACCTTGGCCACAAACTTTACGTTCATTTGGAGGTCATTTGTTGAACATAAAAATTTCCATTGTTTACATTTTTACTGAAGAAAACTAATCATTCTTAATCTCAAGCAGTACGAAAAGAATGGAAACGTCAAAATATGTCAAAATCTGTTCTAGATCGAACTTGTAAGGTTTAGAAAGGGTCATGTAATAGTAACCTTGAATGTCATCTTGGCCACAAACTTTACGTTCATTTGAAGGTCATTTGTTGAACATAAAAATTTCCATTGTTTACATTTTTACTGAAGAAAACTAATCATTCTTAATCACAAGCAGTACAAAAAGAATGGAAACGTAAAAATATGTCAAAATCTTTTCTAGATCGAACTTGTAAGGTTTAGAAAGGGTCATGTAATAGTAACCTTGAATGTCACCTTGGCCACAAATTTTACGTTCATTTGAAGGTCATTTGTTGAACATAAAAATTTCCATTGTTTACATTTTTACTGAAGAAAACTAATCATTCTTAATCTCAAGCAGTACAAAAAGAATGGAAACGTCAAAATCTGTTCTGGATCGAACTTGTAAGGTTTAGAAAGGGTCATGTAATAGTAACCTTGAATGTCACCTTGGCCACAATCTTTACGTTCATTTGAAGGTCATTTGTTGAACATAAAAATTTCCATTGTTTACATTTTTACTGAAGAAAACTAATCATTCTTAATCTCAAGCAGTACAAAAAGAATGGAAACGTCAAAATATGTCAAAATCTGTTCTAGATCGAACTTGTAAGGTTTAGAAAGGGTCATGTAATAGTAACCTTGAATGTCACCTTGGCCACAAACTTTACGTTCATTTGAAGGTCATTTGTTGAACATAAAAATTTCCATTGTTTACATTTTCACTGAAGAAAACTAATCATTCTTAATCTCAAGCAGTACAAAAAGAATGGAAACGTCAAAATATGTCAAAATCTGTTCTAGATCGAACTTGTAAGGTTTAGAAAGGGTCATGTAATAGTAACCTTGAATGTCACCTTGGCCACAAACTTTACGTTCATTTGAAGGTCATTTGTTGAACATAAAAATTTCCATTGTTTACATTTTTACTGAAGAAAACTAATCATTCTTAATCTCGAGCAGTACGAAAAGAATGGAAACGTCAAAATATGTCAAAATCTGTTCTAGATCGAACTTGTAAGGTTTAGAAAGGGTCATGTAATAGTAACCTTGAATGTCACCTTGGCCACAAACTTTACGTTCATTTGAAGGTCATTTGTTGAACATAAAAATTTCCATTGTTTACATTTTCACTGAAGAAAACTAATCATTCTTAATCTCAAGCAGTACAAAAAGAATGGAAACGTCAAAATATGTCAAAATCTGTTCTAGATCGAACTTGTAAGGTTTAGAAAGGGTCATGTAATAGTAACCTTGAATGTCACCTTGGCCACAAACTTTACGTTCATTTGAAGGTCATTTGTTGAACATAAAAATTTCCATTGTTTACATTTTTACTGAAGAAAACTAATCATTCTTAATCTCGAGCAGTACGAAAAGAATGGAAACGTCAAAATATGTCAAAATCTGTTCTAGATCGAACTTGTAAGGTTTAGAAAGGGTCATGTAATAGTAACCTTGAATGTCACCTTGGCCACAAACTTTACGTTCATTTGAAGGTCATTTGTTGAACATAAAAATTTCCATTGTTTACATTTTCACTGAAGAAAACTAATCATTCTTAATCTCAAGCAGTACAAAAAGAATGGAAACGTCAAAATATGTCAAAATGTGTTCTAGATCGAACTTGTAAGGTTTAGAAAGGGTCATGTAATAGTAACCTTGAATGTCACCTTGGCCACAAACTTTACGTTCATTTGAAGGTCATTTGTTGAACATAAAAATTTCCATTGTTTACATTTTTACTGAAGAAAACTAATCATTCTTAATCTCGAGCAGTACGAAAAGAATGGAAACGTCAAAATATGTCAAAATCTGTTCTAGATCGAACTTGTAAGGTTTAGAAAGGGTCATGTAATAGTAACCTTGAATGTCACCTTGGCCACAAACTTTACGTTCATTTGGAGGTCATTTGTTGAACATAAAAATTTCCATTGTTTACATTTTTACTGAAGAAAACTAATCATTCTTAATCTCAAGCAGTACGAAAAGAATGGAAACGTCAAAATATGTCAAAATCTGTTCTAGATCGAACTTGTAAGGTTTAGAAAGGGTCATGTAATAGTAACCTTGAATGTCATCTTGGCCACAAACTTTACGTTCATTTGAAGGTCATTTGTTGAACATAAAAATTTCCATTGTTTACATTTTTACTGAAGAAAACTAATCATTCTTAATCACAAGCAGTACAAAAAGAATGGAAACGTAAAAATATGTCAAAATCTTTTCTAGATCGAACTTGTAAGGTTTAGAAAGGGTCATGTAATAGTAACCTTGAATGTCACCTTGGCCACAAATTTTACGTTCATTTGAAGGTCATTTGTTGAACATAAAAATTTCCATTGTTTACATTTTTACTGAAGAAAACTAATCATTCTTAATCTCAAGCAGTACAAAAAGAATGGAAACGTCAAAATCTGTTCTGGATCGAACTTGTAAGGTTTAGAAAGGGTCATGTAATAGTAACCTTGAATGTCACCTTGGCCACAATCTTTACGTTCATTTGAAGGTCATTTGTTGAACATAAAAATTTCCATTGTTTACATTTTTACTGAAGAAAACTAATCATTCTTAATCTCAAGCAGTACAAAAAGAATGGAAACGTCAAAATATGTCAAAATCTGTTCTAGATCGAACTTGTAAGGTTTAGAAAGGGTCATGTAATAGTAACCTTGAATGTCACCTTGGCCACAAACTTTACGTTCATTTGAAGGTCATTTGTTGAACATAAAAATTTCCATTGTTTACATTTTCACTGAAGAAAACTAATCATTCTTAATCTCAAGCAGTACAAAAA